CTCAATCATTTCCATTTATGAAAATACTTTCTTTACGTAATTCGAAACCACAAAATAACAAATTATGCAGAGAATCACAGAATGACAATCAAGATTTTTCAATCATTAACTATCCTCATCTTACTACTCTTACACTTTACGATGCTCATGATGATTACATCGAAGAATTTCTAGTTGATACGAAAATATGTTTACCGAATAATGCTGTTCATCTTAACATTTATTATGAACAAGTAAAAAGAGTGACACTTAATTTTATAAGAGACACAACACGAATCAATTGTGCAAAACTAAATTCTTTAAATCTCAATGGTCGTCGACTTCCTAAATATGCAAAAGACTATTTTCCACATCTATAAATATTGATTGCTATCAATGCTTATGTAAAATAAATTGGTTTATGTAAAATAAATGCATTAAAATAGAGACAAAATTTATTTTAGATTGGATTGGAAAGACTCGCATCTGTGTATGTACAAGAAGAATCATACATGATAATCCTGGAATGATAAAAAACATAGTAAAAAAAGATAGTTATTTTTCAGAAAAAATTCAGATTAACAGCTCAAAGTCGAGTTATTTGGTACCATACAACTTGAAACACATCTTTTAGAATCGAGAATAAAGAGAAAGCTGAGAGGTCTATTTATTTTGATTTACCATATGAAGAATCTCTTCGAAGACGGTTGAGAAGATATTATGATCTACCAGATCCACAAGGTTATTTTGAAGGACATGTTTGGCAATCTCATGTCAAAGCAAAAAAAAAGAAGCTTTTGAACAATTTCATCATAAGAAAATTGTTGTTGCTAATACAACAGAAGAATCATTTGAAGAAATTGTCAAAGATATTGAAAGAAGATTGTATAAAAAAATGAAATAGAAAATAATTAATATATATATCATTTGTCTGTGCTCAAAAATCAACACTAGTCAAAAGTAATTACAATTCTTGATATATACTAATATCACATCTTTTGTAGTAGAATTGAGTAACTAATAGAAGAGTAAATAAAGAAATCGAAATTATTACCTTTACCTGTAACATAGAGCATATGGTATTCAGATGTCTTTTTATCCGATTGTGCAACGATGACCTTAAAATTCACTTAGATAGAAGCATTGAATAAGAAATAAATAAAAAAACTTTGCAAAATGATAGTCCAATACACTTCTGGTCAACAAGGATTTAATTATGTCAAAAGATTCAATTGATGAAAAAGACAAGTGAAAATGAGAAAGTTTATTTTAATAGATGTAAAATATTTTAGCGACATCAAATGTTGAAAAACAATTCAATACAACTATGAAAAACATATCGAAAAAAAAAATAAATGAAGATCAAGAAGAGAAAATTATTCAACAAACTACAAATGCTATAAAAACAGTGACAGATTAATTGTCATCACGTAACTACAATAAGACTTATTCATTTATTTTTATATTTTGATTTGAATTCATAGCTAATCGAGCCTTATGAAAATTTTATTATTATGATATTAGTTGAAGAATGATCAAGTAGCACAGAAAGATAGAGCATCGTTTTCTAGATCACTACATAAAAAAAAAGAAATCTCTTCTAGGTTTCTATAAGAAAATAAGATAATGACGCCACTACTTTTGATATGCTCTAAGTCCTTGAATAGTCATATGTCAGACATATATGCAAGAAATAAATTCATGAGACTATGGGACAATCTTCTTGCTACGACTGCAAAGTCATATTAAACATCTCTTTGGGTGGTGTTTACACTAATTTTATTTTTTTATACTCAGAAGTGTGGAAAACTAGGGGAAACAATTCCTTTCCCTTGTAGTGCTGATGCGTCGCCACTAATAATAATATTTGTCTTCTAAGAGAGATTCAAACTGAATCAATATGAGTGTGAAAATGTATGAAAGAAGAATTCTTGATCAACTGATAAAGAAAATAAAAAAATCAAATTCTCTTATGAATATAGTCTGGCAAAAAATGAATTTTGTTATTCATTAGACTCGTACACAACGTGAAAGTGCTCTTAAAAAGACTTATCATATTTCAGATGATGTCGATTTGGATCAAATGTTCTTGTTCTTTTATTCAAATATGTATATTTGATTAATCAGGTAATCAAAAAAATTTCATGTATGTGTGAATCTCTTATTTATTCATCGTTTTTGTTTAAAAAAGACAACAAAATAAAACATAAGAGAAATAGATGGTTTGACACATAACTAAAATTTACGCATGTGGTGGTGGTGGTGGTGGTCAAGGCGATTTGTTGTTCTTTTGCGCAAGTCTGTATTTACGAACAGTCTTATTTATTTTCCTCGATAATGTCTTCATGAAACCTTGTGGATTGACCAATTTTCTAGAAAATATTTGTACAAAAAATAAATATAAGAAAACAACCTGCGTA